ACACACACACACACACACACACACACACACACACACACACACACACACACATATAGGCTTAATAAACACAAATACATAATAATGCTTACAAGCATTAATATTCAATCGACAATATTACATAATGCCATTCATTTCGGGTAACGGGTTAATAATTGGTCTACTCACTAGGCTAAAAGAAATGCACTCCCTCTCCAATCGTCATTTTCGCAAGAAAAGTCATTTTCCATAGAATTAATGTCACATTCATGGTTTTAAATTGTCCCAAATGACCAATTCCACGCAGTGCCCACTCTCTAAAAACAGCGAAAACCGATTGACTGCTCGCTGATTCGAGGACTAATCCGGTATTTGCCGCTACATCCCCGGAGTTAGCTGAAGTCACAACGCAGATGGGATCTTCTTTCAGATATTCCACTTTGCGGGGGACTTTAGTTTTAAGCTTGCTCATGCTATCTGGTGCTTGTATTTTTACAATTCATTGACGTGAGAGCATGAAAAAGAAGGAGATATATGTTGTGGAACAAAGTTGGGGGCGGGGGTAAAGATGTGGCACAACAACCCATGATTGGACAGAAAGTCAAGTACTCCATAGTTCTCTATAAATGATCGATACAATCATAGGTAATTATAGGCATAGGCCTATGCACATGTTGATCTTAATATGCAGATGCAGAGGCATAAAACAACAGGAACTACAATAATGACAGTTAGGATTATAATGTAAATAGCAAAAATATAGAATTGGTAGATCCTACGTGAAGACATTGGACGGTGTTTTATAATATAATTTGTCTTGCCACGTGAGCATGCAGAGACCAAAGACGAGTTTAAATCCTTGGTTATACTTATTATACTGCAGTGCATGAGTCAGAGCTTCGGAACGAACATTCGCGAGTGAGTGTCATAAAGAGGAACAGTTCATTTATTCGTCTTTGGTGAAGCGGGTGAAAAGGCATGTCATTTTCTGTTGCCTGTTGACTTATGCTGTGCTGCTTTAACAAGAAAAATAATCTCAGCCTGTGCTGTAGTTTTAAATTCTTTGATATTTTTTCATGTCAAGAGTAATGAGTCCATTGTGCTCATGAAAAGTACGGGTGCCTCATTACGTTGATCCTATTTCTTGTGTAATTGGACTTGAAAATTTCCAGAGGATAAAGTTGACTGTTTGCCTTCACGAATGGTGTGGAACTTGATAGATTTAAATGTATTTGATTTAATATGGGCATAGCCAGCAAAATAATTAAATTAATGATAATATAAAGTCTCTGAAGGGCAACATGGGATAATCTGTCTGGTTTATTTCAACTAAATTGTTGATTTGAGTAAAAAGAAGCGCATCGCCACGAATTATGGCCGTAATAAAGATAAGTCGGACAAAGAGTAATAAAGAGAAACAAGAGTTGGAAAAACAATAAATTAGGAAGCATGACTTACCAGTGGCGCCCTATTAGCTCCCACCACCAGCTTCCGTCTGGCAAGCTGGGTTTTTTTTTGGTTTTTTTGGAGCTAAAGGCTTACAAAAACATAACCTTAAAGACAAAAGTATGGAATCATGGTTTAAAAATGAAGTGACTATATTACCAATAAGTGCGCAGATCTGGGTTCATCGTGGGCGTCACAGAAGGAGAGCAGCCGTATCTTGCTTACAGAAGCCAAAGAGGTTATAAATAGAACTACGCGTGATTAACCAAAGATGAATAAACCTCTATGACAGGAGCAGGAAGCAGCGTAGTGCTGTGATAGTCGTGATGCGCGAAGGCAGGGAGAGCTAAAACTTACTTTTACCAGAATATCATTTCCATCATTGTCGAAACAATCAGGAAAAAAATTCCAGATCTAAGATCTAACTTCTAATTCCACTTAGTTGCCCACCTTTCGATCGTGGTGAAATATTGTTCGTGTGCCATGGATATTTATTCACCACACCATTGTGCAGAAAAAAGGTGGCAGTTGAACGATATTCATGTTTAAAGTGGGGAAAATTTTAATATGTAGATCTAGAGTCTATTTATTTAGTCGACTACACTATTCACACTGCGCCCTGTCATGCCTTTCTTTAACGGATGACAATCTATTGTCAGTTTCCGTTCTAAAAGTGACCTCGTCTGCCAGAAGACCATATTATTATTATTATTATCATCATTTTTGCGTACCCGGGATTCAAAGCAATTCAAGAGTTGCAGACTTAAATTCAGAGTGACGGAGAGTTCATTGTTTTATTGACATGAATAGAATTGCTATCGCTTTTGGATCCGGTGCTTTTCTTCTTTCAAGATTGGCTTGGCCTCTTCTAAGGGAACGGGAATCGCGAAACATCACGCAAACTGCTGATAAAAGAAACAGCGAGAGCTTTCAAAGAATCGGTAAGTAGCAATGTACTTCGGATTGAACGTAAGCAGTAAGCAGTGCTCACAGGGG